GTCTCTGGAAAGCCTCGATAAAAGACGCCGACGTCTCCTCTGATGATGAGCGCTAGTGTCGTGGTAGCAACATGCTATGTGTTTACATCCATCGCTGCCATGTTTGTAATGACTTATCGTGAGAACAAACATATTCACGTGACTTTAATAACATTTCTTACTTAATAGAAACACCGCAGTTGTGAAACTGTGTTTTTTCGACATTAACAGAAAATCGACTGTTTTGTGCACATTTGCAATGGAAACGCAGCTAGTGAAACAGCTAAAATGTAGCTGTAAATGTTTTAATTAGCATAAGGAAGCATAAGGAGCACAACTTTGCTGAACTCAGTTGAAAAAATTTGTAATACCTACAAATAATGGGTATTTAGCTTAGAAAAGCTAACTTTAGCTAATAGCACCTAAACATTAGCTACAATTTTGGCAAAGAGCTGAATATAGCATAAAGCATCTGTAAGAAGTCTAAATAGCACAAGGTGCACAAAAAGGCAMAAGAAAAGTAGATAAAAGCAAAAGAATAGCCGAAAAAAGCTGAATTTTAGCTGAAATAGCAGAAAAAGCTAAAACTAGTAGAAAAAGTAGCTAAAATTAGCACAGGAAAGTGAAAATAAGCATAAYCAGAACAAAATGTGTAAGGTGCTGTAAAGATTTAGAAACATTTTAAAAGGAGTTTAAGGATGTTGAAAACAGCTCCATTCATTTTCAGTGGCAAAAAGTGGCTAAAAACTGAAATAGCTGAAAAGTATAAATAGCTGAAATACMATAAGTCATAGCGCCCCTCATGTGAATGAGATGAACGTTTTGGTATATGAATTGTTGAAATAGCACAAAAATTGTGGAACGAGTTWGAAGCCGAAAAAACGTACAGAAGAAAAATGATAATTGTGTGAATTCTATGAAGTGTTCACACTGTTAAACCAGTATTTTTTATTTTGTACTAAGAACAGAAGCAGAGCAGCAATGGTGTCAGCTTTCTGTGTGCAGTTAACATGTTCTCACTGTGCATGTGTGGGTTTGCTCCAGCTACTCAGGTTTCTTCCCACAGATCAAAAACATGATGTTAGGTTAACTGGTAACTCTAAACTGTGTGAGTGAGAGTGTGAATGTGAGTCTCATTTGTCTTCCTGTGATGGACTGGACACGTGTTTAGGGTGTCCCCCACCTCTCACACAGGGACTAGGTCAGGCGTGGTCAGTCCTGGTCCTGGAGGGCTGCAGCCCTGCATGTTTTACTTGTTTCTCTGCTCCAACACACCTGATATGAATGAACAGATGATTATCAGGCTTCTGCTGTACGTTGGACCAAAACTGACCTTATTAGAAATAAAAGCAGAATTATATGAACCACTAAATAAATACACTTAATGCACCAATTAAATTAAAAAAGGAAAACTTTATCTCCTGTTTTATATTTGAATTGACTTTCATATTTATTTTTCCAGGTTAGTTCCAATAAATTAGTCTATATATTTGAACAGTTTAAATTTCACTGTTTTTTAAATACATATTAATTGTTTTTCCTTTTACTTGTACATGCATTTGTGTCTTAAATGTTTATACTTAATTATTTTTAAATATTTTTATATATCTTTTTATTTCTACGTGTTGCATGCCTCAGTTTAGCTAAAAGTTTAAAGTATAGTTTAAAACAAAGGCACGGAGGAAAACATTACCTGTGCATTTATTTTTAACTAAACTTTAAGCTAAACTGAAGCGGCACAAGCATACAACACATAGAAATAAAAAGACTTGTATTATATTATTATAAAAATAACTCAATTTAAGCATTCAAGAGACACAAATGCATGTACAAATAAAAGGAAAAACTATGTAAAATATGTATTAAAATTTTAAATTATGTGTTAAATATATAATTTATTGGAACTAAGCTGGAAAAATAAATATGAAGGTCAATTAAATTATAAAACATGAGGTAAAGTTCTCCTTTTTTAATTTATTTGGTGCATTTTAAATGTATTTATTTATTTAAAGGTTCATTTATCTRTTTCTGCTTTTATTTCTAATTATGTCAGTGTCGGTCCTTCATACTGCAGAACTTGGAAGAGGTAATTCAGTGACTGAATCAGGTGTGTTGGAGCAGAGAAAAATGTAAAACGTAGGATTACGGCCCTCGAGGACCAGGATTGCCCACCCCTGGACTAGATAAACACCAGCTTGTGATGCTGCACCGGAAAATAATAAAGAAATCGACAGATTGATGCTTAGTATTCTGTTTAGTAGAKATCTTTGAGAGAAACTGGTACTGGAGATTTGAAATATTGGTGCAAAAAAACAAAATGTGTTCATCCCTATTTAAAGTTTGATGAGTTGTACAGCCTTGAATGGTCTAAGTGTTGTCACGTCAAAACTAAATCTTTTTTTCTGTTKTTGACTTTTTTCTTGGTGCAGCACTTTGACTTTCCGCTTCCCAGCCCGCTGAAAGTGTTTGAGATGCTGGTGGTCCCGGAGCAGGAGTACCCTCTGGTGTGTGTCGCCATCAGCCAGGGCACCGAGCCAGGCCAGGTGGTCCGTTTTGAGACCATCAACCTTAACTCTTGTTCCTCCTGGTTCACAGAAATGGGAACAAGTGAGTCAGGTGTTTACTTTAAGTTTGTTACAAACATTTTACAATCACTTTTTTACCTGTAAATATTGCTTCAATTATTTTGCAGATGCCATGATTCTTTAGGGGAACATGCAAATACTTAGTATTCTATTTTACTATGATTTCTGTTTTTAGATTTCTAAATGTTAGAAAATACAGAGAAACTTTTATACTTTTAGCCCTACTTAGGTGCTCTTCAAACCCAGCCTGCTACATGTCATTATAACCTAGTTTAAATTAGTGAAGAGAATAAAATCATTGTTACTGTTGCACCTTGCTTTGTTTCAGGCAATCAGCAGGTGGATGCCATCCATGTCACACAGCTGGAGAGAGACACGGTGCTGGTGTGTTTGGACAGTAAGTCATTTTATCTGCTTCATTTAACTTTTCTGTCAGTGTTTATATCTCAGATGTCTCCATTTTGTTTTTTCCTCAGAAAACATAAAGATTGTGAATCTCCAAGGCAAACTTAAGTCCAACAAGAAACTGGCTTCTGAGCTCAGCTTTGACTTCTGCATTGGAGCTGTTGGTAAGACGTCAGACAAAATAGGTCAACAACACTTTGACAAAGAGTCTAGTTATACTGTACTTGTTCTATTTGTATTTTTTAAGCTCTACTTTTTTGCTCAGTTTTTTATTTTCAGAAGTTTCATTTTACGTTTGGTTTAGTCCTCTAATTGTTACATGATCCTAGTGTTGATACAGCTGTTCTTGTTGGGCGAAATTGACATGATGCCTACATAAGATCACAGTAATAAAAAAACAACAGATGTGACCTGAAGTTCAAACGTAGATCTACACACCGCAGTATTTAAGTATTAACTTTTCATYTAACCAAGTTGATATTAATCAAACATAAAATCATGACAATCAGAACATGAGCTGACAACTACCTTCATACCAGGGTTCAACAAGATTTTTATTTTTTTCACCTGCCCTGTTGGGCAGGAGATGAAAAATGTTGCCTGCCCAACATGAAAAGTTACCTGCCCAAAACAAAAGCGATTTAACGGCTTAACGGCTAATTTAACGTTTCTTTTGTGAATTAAAGAGAGAAATGTTCTCGTCTCTTCGTCAGTCCACATGTACATGTTGTTGTTGTTCGCAGCCATGTTTTTG